TTCCTCCTCCTCCTCCTCCTCCTCCTCCTCCTCCTCCCCCTCCTCCTACATTCTTTTTTCCTTATAAATAACTTATCCTCTTGCTCCTTCTCCTCCTCCTTCTCCTCCTCTTCCTCGCACCCCGAGGCCAGTTTTTAGAGCGAGCCGGGCGTTTCGCCTGAAACTTCCTCACCACTTATGACCTTGAAGCTTAAAACTTGACAATTGTTTCACAGATGGAGGGCGGGTGGTTTTCAAAACGTGACTCTCGCCTTAGCGCCGCGCGTATTCGTTTTTGAGATTTGCGAGAGCTTCACGGATTGAGGGCGGGTGGTTTTCAAAACGTGGCTCTCGCCTTAGCGCCGCGCGCATTCGTTGTGCAAAATTGCAAGAGATTCACGGATTGAGGGCGGGTGGTTTTCAAAATGTGGCTCTCGTCTTAGCGCCGCGCGCATCCGCATGCAAGAGTTTCACAGATTGAAGGCGGGTGGTTTTCAAAATGTGGTTCTCGCATTTGCGTCGCGCACCATTCGTTGTAAAATAGTTTCAAGGATTGAGGGCGGTTTCTTTTGAGAATGTGGCTCTCGGCTTAGCTCCGCCCACATTTTGTGAATTTTGAAGACGTTGCACGGATTTCCGTGATCAGCAAACCAGACATGGTGCTGTGGAAGGATTCAGGATTATGAGGGTGCAACAGTTACGCTGATTCGTGGTGTTCAAGTCCCAGGAATGGCGTTCTGGCAGGGTTCAAGATCGTCAAGACGCAACAGTCAGGTTAATACGTGGCGTTAGAATCCCGAGGACAATGTTTTGGCATGCTTCAGGGTCTTCATACGGTTGTGTTCTAACGAGGCAGTTCCCTCAGTGGAAATGAACCATTGTACGGGCCCCTGAAGAGGAGGCTTGGCGGGAGGTTTTATTCCAACATCGTTGATGACTCTTGGGTTTCCACTGGTCCTGCTCCTTCTTCTCCTCCTCCTCCTCCTCCTCCTCTTCCTTCTCCTCCTTCTCCTCCTCCTCCCCCTCCTCCTCCTCCTCCTTCTTCTCCTCCTTCTCATCCTCCTCCTCCTCCGTCTCCTCCTCCTCCTCCTTCTCCTCCTCCGCCTCCTCCGCCTATGCTGAATACTGCTCCACGTGGTGGTGCAAAATTAGTGGCCGTCGAGCCACAGCGTCTGACGGGCGGAGTATCAAAGGGCTTTTTAATCCTTGTGCCCCGCCCACTAGAAATGGGAAGTATATAGTATCTTGCCTGTCTAAGGGCAAAGTTTTGCCACACTAGAGTCCGAGTCCCCCAGGTCTTCTGTTTCTCCTGGGGTCTCGGAGAGTTGTTGAGGCTTCTCACTAACCGGCTTGGGCCAAAGTGAGCAATATCGAATGTTGTCTTTCGAACGCTTTGGTGCCAGCAATGCTTTGTGCTGCGCCAGGGGCCCGAAGCGCTTCTGGGTCCCGAGGCAGCACCCGTCGTCCAGGCGAAACCCGACATCGTCGTCGCCGAATTCTCCCGAATTGTCATCCTCCCCCCCTCCCTCCCGCTCCTCCTCCTCCTCCTCCTCCTCCGCCTCCGCCTCCTCCTCCTGCTCCTCCTGCCCCTCCTCCTCCTCCTCCTCCTCCTCCTCCCCTCCTCCTCCTCCTCCTCCTCCTCCTCCTCCTCCTTCTCCTCCTCATCCTCCTCCTCATCCTCATCCTCCTCCTCCTCCTCCTCCTCCCCTCCTCCACCTCCTCCTCCTCCCTCCTCTTCGTTCTCCTCCTCCTCCTCCTCTCCTCCTCCACCGCCTTCCCTCCTCTTCCTTCTCCTCCTTCGCCTCCTTCTCCTCCTCCTCCACCTCCTCCTCCGCCTCCCCTTCCTCCCCTTCCTCCTCCTCCTCCTCCTCCTCCTACCTCTCCTTCCTCCTCCTCCTCCACTCCTCCTCCTCCTCACTCCTCCCCTCCTCATCCTCCTCCCACCTCTCTCCCTCTCTCCCTCCCTCTCTCCCTCCCTCCCTCCCTCCCTCTCTCCCTCCCTTCCTCCCCTCCCTGCCTGGCGACAGCGGCCGTGGGGAAACCCTTCGCGGCGCCGCTCGCCGCGGCCCGGGCGTCGCGGCCATGGCCGAGATCTTCTTCGCCAGGCTGCCGCCCTCGCGGCTGACGGCGTCCGAGACCGAGCTGCGAGACTGCCTGCTGCGGGCCGCTGCGGTGGCCGACCGGCTGCTGCCCAGGACGTCCTTCGAGGCTCGAGGCTCGAGGCCAGTGGCCCGAGATGTTCGAGGCTCGAGGCTCGAGGTTCGAGGCTCGAGGTCCGCGGCTCGAGGTTGCAGGTTTTCGGACGTGTTCGTCGGTTCTCGGCGGCAACCAGCCTCGGGATGCCTTCTAGCGGCTGCGCCTCATCGGGAGCGCTCTGGGGGTGCCCGGATCGCCCCGAACGGCCGCTGGCGACCCGAGTTATGGCCTGGAAGCGACGGACCAGGGGGGGATGGATGCGGTCAGGAGTTTTAGCTTAGCGTGTCGCTCCGCCAGTTCTGGCCCACCACGCTTCGGCGCGTCCTAGTCCCCAGGCTTCAATGTCTCGCGTTGTTTCCAGCCTCCCGCGGAGCGGAGTGACACGCTATTCGCTCTTAAGGTAGAGCGTATCGCCAGGGCCGCTGCCGCGACATGCTAAGCAAAGGGTCCTGACCGTATCCCCGTCTCCACTGGGCCATGGCAACTCAGCCCCACCGTCCCCCCCCCCCAGCAAGGGGTAGACCCCTCGAGCCTCGAGCCCCGAAGGGAACAACTCATATCCCCATCTGGTTTCGTAAATCGGCCAGTGGGGCCAATGTCATGCCAGTGGGGATGGGGATCGGTAAGACGTGCCCAGGACGGGCGCCGTGTCGCTGTCGGCGTGGGTGAACAGGCGGATACCCGGGCAGGCGACCTCTCCCTCCGCCACCCACCTCGCAGGGAGGAGGAGGAGGAGGAGGAGGAGAAGGAGGAGGAGGCAGAGGAAGGAGAAGGAGCAGGAGGAGGAGGAGGAGGAGGATGGGGGAGGAGAGAAGGAAGAGGGAGATGAGAGAGGAGGAGTATGAGGAGAGGAGGAGACGAAGAGGAGGAGGAGGAGGAGGATGAGGAGGAGAGAGGATAAGGAGGGGGCGGAGGAGGAGGAGGAGGAGAAGGAGGAGGAGGCAGGGAGGGAGGGAAGGAGGGAGGGAGGGAAGGAGGGAGGGAGGAGGAGGAGGAGGAGGAGGAGGAGGAGGAGGAATCATAGCAATAATAATGATAATGATAATACGAATAGTAAGACTAGTAGAACTAGTCTTAATACGAATAAGGAAACCAAGACTACTAGCATTAATACAACTAGTATCAACCATAATCATAATACGAATTCTTAGGCGAAGAACATAGTATGAAGAAGAAGAAGGAAATCTTGCGAATGAGAAAATACCTAAGACGAATGAACATAAGGAGACACATGCTAATAAGAAGAGGAGGAGGTGGATGATGAAGAGGAGCTCTGTCCTAGGTTGTGTCTTTCGAGTGCTTAACCGTTGGTGTCATAGTGCCGCAGGAAGAGTTTGGGGGAGTGAGTGTATAATCAGGAGTCAGAACAGTTGCGATGCGACATCAATATCTACCTTTCTATTTATACATATCTAGAACTGTAGAGAAGCTGACAGAGAGAGAGAGAGATACATAAAGAAATTAGTAAAGAAAACGATGATAAACGATACACCTAACTCACATAAGCCCTTGGGCCTTCGGTGTGAGCCCCTTCAAACCCGATCAGTGTACTCCTGCCGTGTGCGAGAGATCGAATTGGGGCGACAAAACATGGATTAACAATCTGAGTTAATCCTTGACGCTCCACACTAATGCACGACCACGCTTGAACGGCCTGGGAATAAGTCATAGCGGAGCGCCCCCCCCCCGCCTACATGCACACCGCAGCCCTCAGGTGGACGAGACATCACATCAGACATAAAGTGAGGGTCATAACATCTCGACTGTAGCTGGGCGGTCTTGGCTGCCTTACTGGACGAAGGGACGCAGCGAGAGTAGCGCGCGACGGTGTCGTGCAATGAGCGCTGGGAGGAAGAAGCGCGCGGGGGGGAGGAGGAGGAGGGGGAGGAGGAGGAGGAGGAGGAGGAGGAGGAGGAGGAGGAGGAGAGATGAGGATTGAGGGAGGGTAGTATGAGGAGGAGGAGGCTCTCTCTCTCTCTCTCTCTCTCCTCCCTCTCCTGTCTGCTGCCGCTTTTTGCCTTCTGACCTCTTACTCTTGCACTGATCGCCCACCCGCGGGCGACTCCAGGGAGCGGCCGCTCCAGGAGTCGCTCGCCGGGCTCCCAGCTGTGATCCCTCCCCCCTCTTGCAGACCGGCCCTGGGGAGGGGGAGGGCGGCGTCTGACAGACGCTGGCGCCTTCAGCTCGTCAGCTCGTCGGGAGGAGGTGGCCCATCTGGCTCCTGTGGGCAGTGACGAGCAAGCCCTCTCGAGGTCGCTGCCATGGCTACGGGTGGACCTAGAAGGAGAGAGAGGAGGAGGAGGAGGAGGAGGAGGAGGAGGAGGAGGAGGAGGAGGAGGAGGAGGAGGAGGAGGAGGAGGAGGAGGAGGCGTTTTTTGTTGTTTTGCCACGCGAGAGCAGCCCTTCGCTCCGCCTTGTGGCTGTGAGCCATCTGCACCTCTGGGGCGCTCGTGCCTCCTCCGCCGCCTCCCCGGCAAGGTGCCTGCAGCGGCATTCCCCAACCCTTTTTTTGCGTCGGCGGCTGGGCAGAGTAACTGCGCTGGCGGAGGGCTAACTGAACGGGGGTGCCGTTGTATCGAGTTGGGCCAACATGCAGGAGGAGGGGACACGGCAGAGGAGACGGGGCATTCCCCAACACGCGGCTACTCAGAGCGTGAATTGCCTACCCCGCTTTCGCTTCCAGGCAAAACCAAGTCATACCACGCGCCTCCTCGTCAAGCGGCCTGACCACTACAGGCCGTAGTTTGGCATCGTTTGGTATCTCTTGGAAGCGAGGGTGGTCAAAAGCGAGGTAGGTTTGTTTGCCCCCTATACATGGAACTTCTGTTCTTCGGGCCCAAAGCAGCGTCCAAATGTGGCGCAGCCCAGACGGCGGAGACGAGCGACGGGTGCCCGCCGATCAGAAGCTTTCCGATGTCCTTCCAGATCGTCCCAATGGCGCCTTTGAGAGGCAGATGAGCCTTGGAGTACAAAGCCGACACCACCGCGTCGTTGCCAGCACAGTACATGAGGACGCCTGGGCGAAATCGAACAGCGACGTCGAATCCTCGAAGCTCGCCTCTGGGAGCAGCTGGGGCATCTCCTGCTAGAGCTCCAGCAATACCAGGGCCCAAGACTACAGGCTCGAAGCTCCTAATCGAGACAACTGCAATCCCCACGCGCCCCCCAAAGACGCATTCCTAGAGTGGGGCCCACCAGTAGCGTCCCCGAAGGCGAAGACGGGGGCGTCCCACGAGCCCGACCTCAGAAATCTAGGCTTGATGGGGCCTCCAGCCATCCATTGACTTCGGGATGACTCCTCGGTGCTAACATCATGATGTAGCGTCGCCCTGCGCAAGAGCCCGACTAACGAGCTGGTCCGTGTCACTGTGCATTTGATGGTCGGCATTGTATCGGCACGGTCAGTACAGTACTCGTGGCGAGGGGTCTCGGAGCATTCCCAGCAGCGCGGGCACAGGTCACACTCAACACGTCCAGCTTCTTTTCTCCTGGAAGGCGTCCAGTAATTTCCGACACGAGGTGTGTGTGTGTAGCATTTGCGCAAGATGTTTTCTCATCCTGAGGTTCCGAAGCTGCTGGGCTTAACTTATGTAGCTGCCGAATGCCTGCCCTCTGCTCGCCGAGCACGTTCCACTACTCGCAGAGTGCCGGCTCGCAGACGTCCGAAAAACACATGTTTGTGTTGATGCAGTTTATCGTAGATCCCCCGCGGCGGATCCAGGCCATTTGCGAGCAGTTATTTTGCGAGTAGTGGAACGCGCTCGTCCATCTGCTCGAGACACTCTCCGCAAACATGCATGAAAGTCTCCCTCCACAGAAGACTGGCACTGATGTTGGCCACATCGCTCAGCAAACCCCTGAAACATCCAATCGAACCGGAGTCAGCCCTACCATTCGCCTGAGGCACATGCCAAGAGTCAGGCGCAGTGGGTTTCCTCCTCCTCCTCCTCCTCCTCCTGCCCCTCCTCCTTCTCCTCCTCCTCCTCCTCCCCCTCCTCCTCCTCCTCCTCCTCCTCCTCCTCCCCCTCCTCCTCCTCCTCCTCCTCCTCCTCCTCCTCCTCCTCCTCCTCCTCCTCCTGACAGGGCCTGTGATGTGGGTTGCATACCGATGGCTCGACCGCTGCTTGAACTGCTCAGCAACTGCAGGCCACGCCCTGCGGATGCCAGTGCCAAACAGTGGCTCGTGCGTCGTGGTGCGAAGCAGCCACTCCTCGAGGCTAGAGGCTGGGCGACTGTCTCCTAGATCGCACCCGGGGTTCCTGTTGCCAAGCATCGTGGTAAGACGCCGACCCTGCTTGGACGCTCCCGAGAGAGCCCCCAATCGCCGCCTAGGGGTAGGGAGTTGAGTGCCAAAAGACGTCACTCCGCATGTCGCAGGCAGACCCAACTTGGTCCCCCGTCAGGAGGGAGGTGGGGGGGATGTGGAGGGGGGGAGGGAGTGAGGGAGGGGGAGCAAGGAGCAGGACGGACGGAGTAGGAGGAGGAGGAGGGTCAGGAAGGGGGAGAAGGAGGAGGAGGAGCAGGAGGAGGAGGAGAAGGAGGAGGAGGAGGAGGAGGAATAGTGATCATAAAAGCATGAAGAAGACGAAGCAGAAGAAGAGGAAGAAGAAAAAGAAGAAGAAGAAGACATAGACGAATCAGAAGAAGGAGAAGAAGAGGAGGAGGAGGAGGGAGGAGGAGGGGGGAGACAGGAGGGAGGTAACCGCCCAGGTGACCCTTTCCGCGACCCGGGACGGCCACGTCACGCTGGCCGCCGGCGAGGCCACCGCCGCTGCCGCGGAGGCCGCGAGGCCCCCGCGCGCCGGCGCGCCGGCCGCGCCCGTGCCGAAGGCCCCGCCGGGCGGCGCACCCGGCGGCCTGCCAGCCGGCGGCAGCAGCGCCGCGGCGGAGGCGGCCTCGCCGCCGCCCACCGCCGCCGCCGTCGTCGCCGCCGCCGTCGCCGCCGCCGTCGTCATCGTCGGCGTCTTCGCCGTCGTCGCCGTCGGCGTCGCCGTTGTCGTCGCCGTCGGCGTCGTCGTCGGCGTCGTCGGCGTCGTCGTCGTCGTCGTCGTCGGCGTCGGCGTCGTCGGCGTCGGCGGCGGCGTCGCCTCCTGCGGGGCCGCGGCGCAGGCGTTCTTCGGCCGGCTGCCGGCGGACGCCTTCACGCCGTCGGAGGAGGCCCTGCGCGCCGCGCTGAAGGCCCTGCTGGCGGAGCGGGGGCCCCTGACGGTGTCGCAGGCGGCGGCCCACCCCGAGGTGGCCAGCGCTGCGAAGGCCTCGTCGCCGTCGGCATCGTCGTCGTCGTCGTCGTCGGCGTCGTCGTCGGCCTCGTCGTCGTCGTCGTCGTCGTCGGCGTCGTCGTCGTCGTCGTCGTCGTCGTCGTCGCGCCGCGGCCCGAGGGCCTCAAGCGAAGGCGCGGCGCACTGGCCCCGGGCGCGAGCTCGGAGCGCAGAGGGAGAGAGAGAGAGAGAGACTCTGTGCGCGGCGGCCGCGGCGACCGCACTTCTCCCTCGCCCGCGCGAGGTGCGCCGCACCCCGCGCCTGCCGAGCATGCCGGCAGCGTCGCCGAGAGAGCATGTCTCAAGCAGTGGCGAAGCGTCCTGGTTCGCCCAAAGCCCCACCAAAGAATGTTCGAAGAACCTTTT